GTGCCATGTGGTCGGTGTGTGTTTGCAGAGATAATAGGCACCAAACTCAGTGGGAGGGCATCCTGACTATAAAACTTCACTAGCTGGGTGCCTCTCTGTCTAAGAAACTGTGCAATCTGGGATAGCGTAAAAGCGTAAACCAAGCCCTTCACTGAGTTCAAAGACATTCTAGAGCTGTAATAAACTAGACACCACATTCAAAATCCATTTTTCCCCTATGATTTCATATCTTGGAATATGAGGGACTTACACAAAAAACAGGCATATCTTCAGATTGGTCACGTTCAGACAAATTGTTTGGAATATTGCATTCCCTACCTGAGATCAACAGGAGAGCAGAAAATAAAATCTCCTTAATCATCCCAGCAGGTATGTTATATTTCATATGTAGATCTTCAGCAGATGATTCTGCATATTAATCTACCCATGGGTGGAATGTTACATGTACCTAGGAAAAGTTATGGGCCAAAATATAAGCTAGGAGAGTTTCTGGTTATACCTTAGGTCTCCACCCAACACCCCTCCCCAAATAAGGCAATTGGTGCTCTGTTGTAAGGAGACACCCTGCTGAGATCCTAGAAAAAGGCTGTTATGCTTGGCGTTGGGGGTGAGAGAGAAAGAAGAGTCTCCCATTTAACATTGAAACTGACAGTTCAAGACAAGAAATCGTTTTTGAACTCATAAGACTTGAAACTGCTTAAACCAAGGCTGATTGGCAAGTACTTTAACCCTCTAAATTCCTTTCTGTTATCTCTTTGCTGTGCTGTTGTTCTCTGTATATTTATATATATATTGGCTATATCTTTTTCTGTAAATATTTTTATTGCACCCTTTTGACCTTTTAGTAATAAATCTTACTTTCTGATTAAGTGTTGAACTGTTTTCTAAAGCTCTTTAATGCAAATTACAAATTCCTGCCGCTGAAGAGCGCTACTGTGTGTGTTTAACCCCCTGTGGTGACAGTGGTATACAGACGATTATTTCAACTATCATAGTGTTATTGCTGAGTTTCCTCTTTCTCTGTACAAAAAGGAGGTGGTGGCAGTGTGAAGGGTTATTTGTGTAATTAACCTGACCCAGTAACCATTGCTTCCAGTCTGCCGGTACACAGACTGTGGTCCATTAGCTGGAAAATCTGTGTGCAGGGTGCAGCTGGGCGTGGCATTGTTACGCACGTGACAGCGCGGTTTTAGATTGGCTAGTCCTTCGGTCACAAGTTTGGTGAGAAGGGCAGGGGTCTGACGCCGGATCGTCACAGTGGGTCTCAATGTATTCTTCAAGGGGATTCACCTTTGAAGGGCATATGCAAAAGGCTCCTATCCTAAGCCCGGTTTGCTGACCATGCTCTAAGCCATAAAATTCTGTGCATATGCACAGAAAGTAAGGACATCCTAGAGATTTGACAAACATGGTAAATATTTGTATTGGATGATCTAAATATACAGTTTATTGACTATGAAGGCTTGCTATTGAACTAACCAAAGAAAATCACATTCATTATTCTGATTGGAGTTATTTTCCCTAATAAATCATGATTGTTCATTTAAATTGTATCAGTCTGAAACAAACAACTGCTGTAATACATTAGATACAACTTGTGTGATTACACCAAATCCCCAACGTTTGATTACATGAAACTTTAATCATTTTTATTATTAATAATGAGTTGTTGATTAGAATTTTCCTATCATACTCAGCATACATTACCAAAAACAATTCCTTAGATCAAAATTTGGATGTTTATGCTGCAACTGGGGCACTGGGCAACAAAAGGGGGCTCTTGTCTGATGCATATGACTCTAGGTATAAAATGATACTGCTATCCAACTGATGTTGCTTGATTTGGTTCTAAGCATTCAGAGATGTCTGCACACAGGTTGTCTCCAAAAAAGATGAGCAAAAAGCTTGCTCTGTTGTGGTTTGGCCAAACTTTTTATTTGATAATATTTGAACCTCAAAAATGTAGAATTTGCGACTGGAAATCCCACACAAGTGAATGGAAATCTGAACCAGGCTCCAAAGAAGTTTGCATTACAGAGCAGCAACCTATTTGAAATTATCTGCAGAATGGTTTTAGGAAGCTTCTCGTCCTGCCTGATAAAACAGCCTGAGCCACTTCCTTTAACCACTTGCCATCCTGAGGATTTACCCTCCTTAATGACCAGGCCTCTTTTTGCTATTCGGCGCTGCACTATTTCAACTGATAATTGCGCGGTCATGCAATGCTGCACCCAAACAACATTACGTCCTTTTTTTCACACAAATAGAGCTTTTTTGGTGGTATTTGATCACCTGTGCGCTTTTTATTTTTCACGCTATAAACAAAAAAGACCAAAAATTTTGAAGAAAAAACGATTTTTTTTACTTTCGGCTATAAAAAATATATGAAAGGAGCTGAGTGTAAACTCAGTTAGTCATAAATTTAGGCCAAATGTATTCTGCTACATGTTTTTGGTAAAAAAATCCCAATAAGTGTATATTGATTGCTTTGTGTGAAAGTTATAGCGTCTACAAACTATGGTATAGATACTGCAATTTACGCCCATTTTTTTTTTCATACAGCGCTACACTAGTTTAACTGACAATTGCGCGGTCATGGAATACGGTACATAAATTAAATTTACATCCTTTTTTTCACACAAATAGAGCTTTATTTTGCTGGTATTTGATCACCTGTGCGCTTTTTATTTTTTGTGCTATAAACAAAACATTTTTGAAAATTTTTTTTTGAAAAAAACCCGATATTTTCTCATTTCTGTCATAAAAAATCCAAAAAAAAAACTCAAATTTCGTCATAAATTTAGGCCAAAATGTATTCTGCTACATGTTTTTGGTTAAAAAAAATCCCAATGAGTGTATTATTGATTGCTTTTTGTGAAAGTTATAGCGTCTACAAACTATGGTATAGATAATGGAATTTACACAGGTTTTACTTTCTGACTGCCCATCACATTTCTTGAAGTGCTAAAATACCAGGACAGTACAAACACCCTCAAATTACCCCTTTTCAGAAAGTAGACACCCTAAGCTATCTGCTGAGAGGCATATTGAGTTCATGGAAGGTTTAATGTTTTTTTCCACACGTTTTTGGAAAATGACAAAAACATTTTTTTTTTTTACACAAAGTTGTCATTTAAATTATATATTTCTCACACAACTAGTGGCTAATTAGCTGCAGGATTGCTTTTACAAACAGCGGGGGTGTTTCTGCCAGCTGACCATAGAGCTGATTGGAGACCGGAATGGCGCCAATCATCTCTATAGTCTAAGAAATCGGAAGCTACGAGCATTTTATCACTTCAGTTTTGCAGGATATAAACAGCGCCATTTGTAAATTGGGAAAGCATCTGATCAAACAAATCTTTGTGAGATTAGACAATGTAAGGGCAGAGGAGATATCTAGAGTATGATATACCCCAGATTTCTCAAAAAAGAATATATGACAATGCCCATTGACGTTTATAGGGGATATTTGCATTCCCTGTGATAGCATTAAAAAAAATGAAAGGGACAGTGTAAAAATTATTTAAAAAAATCAAAATAACTTAAAAAAAAGCAACCTCGTCCCCATGCGCACGCCTGCACTCTAAAGCATTGACCCTGTGCCAGTATGTAAACAGTGGTTGCACCATATATGTGAGGTATCTCCACGAACCTCAGATCAAGGGCAGTAATTCTAACACTAGACCTCCTCTGTAAATCTAAAATGGTAGCTTGTAAAGGCTTTTAAACCATTGCCTATGGATATTAAAAATGTATGCAGTTTGTCGCCATTTCACGGGGCGTGCGCAGTTTTAAAGCATGTCATGTTTGGTATCTATTTACTCAGCATACCATCATCTTTTATATTTTACCAAATAATTGGCCAATATATTGTGTTTTTGTCTATTAAAAGTTAAAAAGTGTATTTTTTTTTAAAACAATTTGCATTTGAAAAATTGCTGCATGAGTACCATGCGACATAAAAAATTGCAGCACCCACCTTTTTTATTCACTAGGGTGTCTGCTTTAAACAAAATATAATGTTTGGAGTTCAAAGTAATTTCCTAGCAAAAAATACTGATTGTTTTCATGTGAACAAAAAGTGTCAGAAAAGGCTTGGTCTACAGGTGGATAGAAGAGTGAATGATGTGTGGCATAAACTTCTAATGCTGGGCATAGAATGCCCCCACCCCCCAAAATGACCCCTTTTTGGAAAGTAGACATCCCAAACTATTTGCTGAGAGGCATGTTGAGTCAATAGAAGAATTTATTTTTTTACCACAAGTTTTTGGAAAATGACAAAAAAAATTTTTTTTTACTCAAAATTGTCACTTAAATGATTTATTGGTCACACATGCCATGGGTATATGTGGAATTACACCCCCAAATACATTCTGCTACTTCTCCCGAGTATGGAGATACCACATGTGAGAGACTTTTTTGCAGTCTAGCCAAGTACAGGACCCCAAAATCCAATAAGCACCTTCAGGCTTTTAACCACTAGCCTACAGGGCACTTATACCCCCTTCCTGCCCAGGCCAATTTCCAGCTTTCAGTGCTGTTGCACTTTGACAATTGCGCGGTCATGCAACAATGTACCCATATGAAATTTTTATCATTTTTTGGGTGACAGATAGAGCTTTGTTTTGGTGGTATTTAATCACCTCTTTTATTTTTTTTTTTTTTTTAAACAAACCAAAAACCACTGAAAATTTTGGAAAAAAATTTTTTTTTTTTCTTAGCTTTTGTTATAAATTTTGTAATTAGGTGATTTTTTTTTCTCCTTCACTGATGTGCGCTAATGAGGCTGCAGTGATGGGCACTGATAGGCTGCACTGATGGGCATTGATAGGTGGCACTGATGAGGAGGCACTGGTAGGTGGCACTGATGAGCATTGACAGGCATCACTGATGGGCACTGAAAGGCAGCACTCATATATGGCACTGATAGGTGGCACTGATAGGCGGCACTGACTGGCATTGTTAGGTGGCACTGACTGGCACTGTTAGGCGGCACTGATAGGCGGCACTGACGGGCACTGATAGGTGGCACTGATGCACACTGATAGGCGGCACTGACTGGCACTGATAGGTGGAACTGACTGGCACTGATAGGTGGCACTGATTGGCAGCACTGATAGGTGGCACTGACTGGCATTGATAGGTGGCATTGACTGGCACTGATGGGTGACACAGAAAGGCAGCTCAGGTGGGCACTGATATGTGGCATTGATGTGGCACTGAAATGTGGCACTGATGTGGCACTGGCAGATGGCATGCATGAGTACTGAGAGCTGGCACTGATAGACACTGACAGGTGGCACTGCTGGGGCTACACAGATCATCAGGGCACACTGATCATCAGTGCTCTGATGATCAGTGTACATGTCCCCTCTGAGGAATGCAGATTACTGGCTCTCCTCTCCTCACGAGCTGTCAGCGTGACAGCTCGAGGGGAGAGAAATGCCGATAACCAGCATTTCGCTGTTTACATGTGATCAGCTGTGATTGGACACAGCTGATCACATGACCGAGCCGACATCTTCGGCTCTTTCCGTGGATCGGTGATCCGCTGTATCCGAGGGACACAGTGCACCGTCGATCGCCGCGCTGCCCGCTCCAGGAGCCGCGCATGCGCGGTTAGAATGTGAGGACGTCATATGACATCCTCCCAGACTGAGAGAACCACCTTGTGTCCATCATATTACTATTACAGGAGGTGGTTAAAGGGCTTTATTTCTTCATTACACTTCCTGACTACCTATCACAGTTTCGGAGGCCCTGAAATGCTAGGATAGCACCAAACCCCCCAAAGTGACCCCTTTTTGGAAAGTAGACACCCCAAGGAATTTGATCAGAAGCATGGTGAGTATTTTGCAGATCTCGATTGTTACCACAAGTTTTTGGAAAATGAAGAAAGAAAACAAAAACATATTTTTTCTTTTTTTTTTTTTATATTCTTATATATTTTTTTATATTTCAAAACCTTGTAAGAAAAAATGAGATCTGCAAAATACTCACCATGTCTCTTTTTAAATTCCTTGGGGTGTCTATTTTCCCAAAAAAGGGGCCATTTGGGATGGGGGGGGGGGGGTTTGGTGCCATCCTGGCATTTCAGGGCCTCTGAAACTGTGATAGGTAGTGAGGGAGTGAAATGAGGACGTTACAAACCTTCAGGCTTTCAAAGTGGTCATTAGATTTCCGGTATGTGGCTTGGCTCCCAAAAAGTCTCACACATGTGGTACCCCCATTCTTGGTAGAAGTAGCAGAATGTATTTTTGGGTGTAATTGGACAATTTGTATTCAAGCGTGTCACTATTTAGACATTTGTACAATCTTCACTCCCTCACTACCTATCACAGTTTCAGAGGCCCTGAAATGCCTCCTCCTCAAAATATACTACTCCCTCGGCCTCAGAGATTCTGCTCTCTCCTGGCTCTCATCCTACCTGTCACAACGCTCTTTCAGCGTTACCTATAATGCTACCACCTCCCCCTCACTCCCCCTCTCTGTTGGGGTCCCAAGGCTCTGTCCTTGGGCCCCTTCTCTTCTCCATCTACACCTCCTCCCTTGGCCAACTCATACACTCTCACGGCTTCAACTACCACCTCTATGCCGACGACACACAAATCTATCTCTCAACCCCCACCTCACCCCTTCGGTCTCTGCCCAAATCACACACCTACTGAGCGACATATCAGATTGGATGTGGCTCCACTTCCTTAAACTGAATCTCTCCAAAACCGAGCTCCTTGTCTTCCCCCCAGCCCGAACCCCACCCCCCATTGACTTCTACATCACATCCAACAACGCCAATATCAAACCCGCTCTGCAGGCCAGAGTACTTGGTGTCATTCTGGACTCCAACCTATCCTTCCAGCCCCAAGTCCAATCTTTAACAAACTCGTGCAGACTCCACCTCCGCAACATCGCCAAAATCCGCACGTTCCTAACCCCAGAAACCACTAAACAGCTCATCCACTCCCTCATCATATCACGACTCGACTACTGCAACTCCCTCCACTGGCCTGCCTCGCCGCTGGCTATCCCCGCTTCAGTCGATCCTGAATACGGCTGCCAGACTCATTCACCTTTCCAACCGCTCCATTTCCGCCACCCCCCTCTGCCAATCCCTCCACTGGCTTCCGATTGCGCAACGGATCAAATTTAAAATCCTAACACTGACGTACAAAGCTGTCCACCATAGCCCCGAACTACATCACTGACCTAATATCCAAGTACCGCCCAACACGCACACTCCGCTCCTCACAAGACCTCCTTCTCTCTAGTTCCCTGGTCTCCTCCTCCCATGCCCGCCTCCAGGACTTCTCCAGGGTGTCACCCATCCTCTGGAACTCCCTGCCCCAACCCATCAGATTATCACCTACTCTCCTCTCCTTTAGGCGCACCCTGAAAACCCATCTCTTCAGGGAAGCCTACCTCACCCCCTGCTAACTTGCTGACCTCCTCCACTCTTCCTACCACTCCATCCCCCACAGCTATCTCCTCCTGTACCACTATCCCATCCCTTCTAGATTGTAAGCTCGAAAGAGCAGGGCCCTCGATCCCCTCATGTTTTGCATTGTATTGGTATTGTTCTGTCACATGTTCTGTCCCCCTTTGTAATGTACAGCGCTGAGTGAACTATTGGCGCTTTATAAATACTGTATAATAATAATAATAATAATAATCTTGGAATCGCTGCATGTGGCACCGTGCGACCTAATGTGTTCCCCCCATTAGAAGTGGGTGGATGCAGGGCAGTATATTCTAATGGTGGGCATACCACACACTTTTTGTGGCAGAGATTTCTTCTCTTTTTTTCATTCAGCCCACAGGCTGCATGCAAAAAAAAAGAACATAGCATATATACCCAATAAGGACCAGCGACGTACTGGTACATCACTGGATAGGGGACAGCTCTACCATCCAACAGCCAAGTCTGATCAACCTAGTAATGCCTGTTAATTTATCTTAGCTTCCAACCATCCAGTATTAGTGGAGTGTGACTCCTCACCCTGCCATCCTCACAATATCTCCATAGGTCATGTATTACACTGTATGTGCTCATGTAACTGTACATGTTCCACTTCTCAGTTACATGAGCTTATGTTTCGCCCCCGCTAGTAAACAATGATATATAACTTCAAAATATTATTTTTGGCAATTTGTTTTCCTAGAGATGCCTCGTGGGAAGCGTGATAGATTCCGTCTCTTTATTTAATTACCCGCAGCTGGGCTTTTCTTTGTTGTGAATGACCAGCTCAGCCAGGTGCTTTCCCTTCTAAATCTCTGTGACGACTCTCTGGAGTTTAATTGTCACTGGCTGTGAGCGAAAAGGCTTGTTGCCATAAATCAGCGCATTGACTATGAAGGCACGCCATCGGACTGACCAAAGAAAATCACATTCATTATTCTGATTGGAGTTATTTTCTCTAATAAATCATGATTGTTAATTTAATTGTATCAGCCTGGAATGAGGAACTGCTGTAATACATTAGAAGGACTGTACAAGAGAGTTGTATTATTATGGACTTGTGATTACACCAAACCCCCAGAGTTTGATTGCTTGAAACGTCTAATAATTTATCATTATTAATGAGTTGTTGATTGGAACTGTTCCTATCATACTTAGAATTACCAAAAATAATTTCTTAGATTAGAGCCTGGGTGGTTATGCCATCACTAGGACACAGGGGGAAAAAAAAAGCTTGAAGTGCAGAAAACAATGCAGAGTACAGTCAGCGGTAGAAAGTCCGAGCCAATGAGAGAGCTTGCCAAGGGAGGTAGAGTGTGGCATGGCTGGTCCAACCCAAGAGGGAGCTTGAGAAGGTCTAGGGGAAGGACCTGCTCTTTCCCTACTGCTCTGGAACCTTTCCCTACAGCTAGTGCTGTCCCTGACAGACGTGTAAGCTTTCCCTGCACTAGCCATTTTGCAAATGTGTGTCATATCCTGGGGGCAAGGACTTAAAAGATTCTGGGTAATCCAAGATGGTCTTCAGGGTCTCCTGGTTACAGTGTAACAAACCAGAACGCTGTTCCAGAGGACCAGGGGAACCATGGAGAAACCAACCTTCTCTTGACTTCTCCTCCAACTGCAGTACCACTCCGGTTGAGGGCCACCTAGAGTGGAGAGAGTAGACTGCACCAGCCTACAAGCAGCTTGATTGACTCAGTGAGACTTCCAGTTCAGAAATTCTGAATTTTGGAGGTTTGTAAATATTTTAAATGTTTAGCCACACTACAACGAGTTAAACGTTTGAGGATTTCTCTTATCTCTATTGGAACGCAGACATCAGGTACATAAAAACAAATAAAGTAGCATCAATTGTATCATTTTATCCAGGTACCTGGAATCATATGCATCAGTCAAGAGCCCTGTGGTCTGCAAATAGCTGCTCTCCAATAGAGATGAGTGATCTTCAGTTGTACTTCAGTTGTAGTTTTAAAAAATCCATAAACCTCTGAAATTCACACCTTCTAAAACAGAAGTTCAAATGAAAGTAGAAATCTTAGCCAGGCACCAGAAAAAGTGTGTATTCTAGAGCATCAAAATGCAAAATTGTGCAGAATGGTTTGGGAAGCTCCTGATAGCCTTGTCTGATGAGATGATGGGGCCAAAAAACAGCCTCAGCCACTTTCTTTAAGATTCTTCCATGGATACTAAGGTACAATGGTGGGACCTAGTGGCTCTGGAGGTCAAGCTAAGGGTGCTCAGTAGAATTAGATAACAGGCAAAAACAGCTTTTGGAGCATCCTTTGATCTTTTTTCTACCAAAAACCTGTTGGAAATCTGAGCCAACAAAAATAACACTGAGATTTGGCATGCATTTGCAGTCATCCAAGTTTAATTGATGTTTAAAAATTACAGTCAATGGCTGAAATAAAGCCCTTTATGCTTGTGTAAAGCTATATGAATTGAGCCTATGTCTCCTGATTGTACATAACAGTATAGCACATAAATTCCATATTTAGGTGGAATGAGGACATTTATAGGGCTGTTTTATAATGTTACATTCAGGGGCGGACTGACAACTCATGGGGCCCCCGGCAATAGAGGGATCATGGGGCTCCTGTGTCCATGCTAAAACTCAAAAAAGCCTATGAAAAAGGTACCAGGGGCATATCATGGGGCCCCCTACTGACCCTGGGCCCTCGGGCAGTGGCCGAGTTTTCCAAATGGTCAGTCCGCCCCTGATTACGTTGGGAGCTGGAAGACAGTGTATTGACAGCATGGCAGTTGACAGGGCAGCCTTTCACTTCTGTCTTTTACCTGAAAGAGTTGATCTCAAACAAACTAAGGGCCCTTCTTATAGTGGAAAGTAGATTGTGATATCTGCTCTTCATTGTATACTGCAGTGTTTATTCCACCCAAGCTTGCTTTTTATAAACCATTCATAAAATGCAGACTGTGACAGATCCTGGGACTGCGCTCTTCTCCTCCTGACATTTTCCACCTGTTCAAGCAAGATACAAATTTGTAAAGACTTTATAAAAAATTAAAGGGCTTTATAAATTCCTTTGGGGTTTTTTTTTTAAGCAGCGGTGTGACATAATTTATAAATGGACCCCTAAGTAAAACTTTATAAAGGGAG